GGAACATCAAAATATAGGCGTCTTCAGTAAAATAGATATATGAACAATAAACGGTATAAACGCTTCATTTACATTTGAAAACGGACCCGAGAACCACCTCAGTTTGAATTTTAGTCATTTAGTGACCCTGATTTACTCGACCCTTATATGAATATCTAGTAAGCATTATGGGCGGTCGGGTAGCCTAGTGGTTTAAGCGTTCGCTCGTCACGCCGAAGACCCAGGTTCGATTCCCGACATGGGTACAATGTGTGAAGCCCATTTCTGGTGTCCCCCGCCGTGATATTGCTGGAATATTGCTAAAAGCGGCGTAAAACCATACTCACTCACTCACTCACTAGTAAGCGTTATACACACAGTTTGAGCAAAGACCCTCACGTCGGTCCTCACCTCATGCACGCATGTCTGTGACGTCAGCTCTATTCTGAATGTTGTCAGCTTTTAAAAACACTGTCAAGCATTCATTGTCAAATATAAACGGGTTATGTAACACGTTAATATCATTTAAATATTAAATAACAAAAGAAAAAAAGGCATATGAAGAAATACATAATGATTAGAAAATGTTTCCATGTTCATTTTGTTTGAGTAGCTGCTACGAAAACAAAGTTAACGGTAGTTTCTCAGTCGCTCCATTTCATGCATGCGCGAGACCTCCTAAATGTCGATACATCCCTCATTGTTCGTATATATTTATGTCAGTATCAACATATCATCACGTCACGTTACTGCGTGCGGTTGAAACTTTTGATAGGTATTAAAGACGAACATGATCGAGGAAGTGAGTGAGTGAGTACGGTTTTACGCCGCTTTTAGCTATATTTCCGCGGGTCACCAGAATGGGGCTTCACTCATTGTTCCCATGTTGGGAATCAAACCCGGGCGAACGGTGTGACGAACAGACGCTTTTTCCGCTGTCCCTCCGCCACTCATTGAGAAAGACCCGGTGTTGCAGCACATAGTCAATGACGGAGTTTGCTGTGATGTATCTGTATCAAGAGTAAGGTGGTTAATCAAAGCCCCAGGTACGGTTGACCCTGAAAGGCCAGATACCACAGTTCAACGTCCAGGAGGTCAATCCGTCGATTCAGTTGATGCATGCATTGATGGGTTTATGCCACGTAATCACACAGTGTAATGCCTACTTTACACAATCGAGGTTGTCCTTGACTAGGAATGTGATATGGATATATCAGACGCCTGTGAAGATTTGGGGTAGAAAAGGTCTTCAGCAACCCATGCTTGCCGTAAAAGGCTACTTTGCCTATCGTAAGAGGCAACTAACGGGATCGGGTGGTCAGGTTCGCTGACTTGGTTGATACACGTCATCGTATCTCAATTGTGCTCATGATCGCAAACACCGGATCCAGCCTCGATTGTTTTCTGACCGCCGTCATATTGCTGGAATATTGCTGAGTGCGGCGTTGATCTGAATCGTCGCATGTGGAACCATGTGTAAATATTCTTTGAGTGCTGACTAAGCGCCAGAGCACACGCACACGTACACAAACACACACACCTAAACACAAACACTCGCACAAATCAGACATCAGACACACATACGCGCACACACACACACACACACACACACACACACACACACACACACACACACACACACACACACACACACACACACACACACACACACACACACACACACACGCGCGTGTACACGCACGCACACACGCACGCACACACACACACACGTGTACACACGCACACACACACGTGTACACACACACGCGTGTACACGCACGCACGCACGCACACACACACACACACACGCACGCACGCACGCACGCACACACACACACATTCACATTTTCATCCCCATTTATCGTCACCTCACACGCACGCACACACGCACGCACACACACACGTGTACACACGCACACACACACGTGTACACACACGCGTGTACACGCACGCACGCACGCACACACACACACACACGCACGCACGCACGCACGCACGCACGCACACACACACACACACACACACATTCACATTTTCATCCCCATTTATCGTCACCTCACCCACGGGGGCACGGGTGGCCCAGTCGTCCAAGGCGCCGCGATTCGCTGTGCAGAAACCTATGAGTGTGGGTCCGAATCCCGGTTCGCCCCGATTATGTTTCTAGGTTTGTCAGCACCATACCCGTGCTCGTGGGTTTCACCGAAGTGGTAAACGCCTAAGATCTGCATCAATTCGGGCTTTCCTCCCACATTCATCTGACACGCCGCGATATAACTGAAATACTGTTAAAAAGCGGCGTTAAAACCAAACTCACTCACTCAAATCACCCACATAAAAGTGTATTTCACCATCAAACCACGTGGTCCTCCAGTAGTATCACGTTGACAAAAGGCATGGTTCATTGTTGCAGGGCGCGATGTGAAAGTAAGCGATCTCCTCCCCGCCGGCAATGTTGCACACGGGTTAGCATGGAACTACTATTGTGGTTACCTGTCCTTTGTTTTGCCAGGTAAGTAATAAGATATTCTCATCATCTTGGTTGGAATATCCATGAAATAAACAATGTACTGTTTAAGTTTTTACAAATTTAACAAATTTCTTTGTCAGTGGAATATATTCTCAGGTACAGGAATACGAAAGTACGAATAGTTTTTAATTACTTTTATACAGTTGTCTGTAGGAAGGGATTACATTTTATTGCAATGCACTCGATGGTTAAGGTACAATATTTGTCCTCAACGGTAGTTTGCTTTATCGCTAAAGACATTGATGTTTCTAAGAGTCACATAAGGACACTTCTTATGAACCAATTCACAGTATGGTTTTTGTTTGTTTGTTTGTTTGTTTGTTTATTTGTTTACGCCGCACTCAGCAATATTCAAGCTATATGACGGCGATCTGTAAATGGTCGAGTTTGGACAGATAATCGATTGAGTGATGTCATGAGCATCGATCTACGCAATTAGGATTGCGATGACATGCATCAACCGTGTCATATATCGAGAGGTCAGGCCAAGTGACTAGTTTGAGAGCTTGTTAAGTACCCTCGCCGAGACCCGTGAAGATAAATTATTTACACACCGCCGTCATTTAGCTGGAATATTACTGAGTGTGGCGTTAAACAACAAATAAATAAACAAACAAACAAACAAACACACCCTCGTCGACGGCGTGGATCGTTGCTCACAATATCAATCACTGGTTCGTCTGGTCCAGATTCGATTATCACAAAGCTGGAATATTGCTGAGTGCGGCGTTAAACAACAAATAACCTAACCATTGTTTATATTCTTGCAGTCTCTTTAGAAACATCAAAGCCTTTCTTCACCTGCTCATATTACAAATAAACCCCTTTTGCATATTAATGCTTTAGTTGTGATCATTATTGTTTCCAGATTTGGGAAATAAAATCCAAAATTCAAAATGGTGGACAACAGACAGGGACCGCGTTATAGCGAGGAGGCTATACATACTTATACCTCTGAGTTGTGTCTGCAAGGACTCACTAACCGACGTGGACCCTCTGATCACATTTGATGGCAGTTTGGAGGGAGACCGGAAGAGCCGAGCTGGCAACATGAACAGGGTGTACCGCCAGTCTGTCTGGAGAATAGAGAGACGCAACGAACAGGTACACGTCTTCATTTGGAATGTGCATTTGAACACATATTGCAATATAAACCCGCTTGACTGAACATATGGCTTAGAAAAAGGATAGATTACAATGTTGTTGACCCCCAAACAAGAGGGTATAGTTAGGCAGGGGTCATATTGGTTTGGAGTTTTCGAAAAATATTATCAAGAAAGGAAAGCACTGAAAAAGGTGGCCTTTGCTTTGACACAGCAATTGGCAAGTTATAAAAGGAGAGACATGTCGTGTATTTAACATGCCACTCTTGATACGACTGACAAACACATTGATTTTTAAAAACACTTTACACAGGTTACGAATCGTAATAAAAGCAAATTTTAAAATGAATCATGTTTCCGCCGCTTTAAAAGATTAGACATTAACTGTTTTTTGGTACTACTCTTCCATCAATACGTCTATCTATTGCGGATATAAGAAAAATATGGTGGTCCTGAAATTTGTCATTTATATATAAGACAATATATAAGAAGATTACTGCAGGTTACATACAGCTAAAAAGAAAACGATCAGATATTTGATAAAGCAATTTGAGTGCAGGACGCGGGGACATCATTGGACGGTTCTAGATTACAGTAGTTCAGTGCTGAATCTGAAAATTAAAATCAAGCATTACTTGACCACCACCTACAGGACTTCAGTTTTCTCCTCTCCCTAGGACCTGTTTTTTGCGGGAGAGTTCGCCACGGTTCTGGACACCATGCACCTGATGGAGCTGGGGCGGGTGGCGGGGATGTCCTCTGAGAACAAGAAGTACCAGGTGCAGAGATTCTGCAAGACTCTCGTGGGAATTCTCGAGCATCCCCAGGCTAACAGGTGTCACAGGAGGTTCTCTCTAGTTATGTATGATGGTAAGTGTGAACAGTTCTGCTCTTTCGCCTTGTCTCCACAGTTACTGCCTCCATCTACTGTCTCCATCTACTGTCTCCATCTACTGTCTCCACAGTCACTGTCTCCATCTACTGTCTCCATCTACTGTCTCCATCTACTGTCTCATCTACTGTCTCCATCTACTGTCTCCATCTACTGTCTCCATCTACTTTCTCCATCTATTGTCTCCACAGTTACTGTCTCCATCTATACACAGTAAAAAAAGTGTTGCACCCCCTATACTTTTTCATGGAGGGGTGTTTTGAAAGGGTGTAAAGATAACCGAATTAATATTATAACCAGGATTTCGTGTATACCAACAAACCAGTGTATTGTCTATACAATGAACTTAAATGGGGTATTCCATGACCTTATGGCATGTAATAATCTCATGCTGAACTTTTACGAAAAATGAACGAACAACGAAGACGCATTAAGTATGGTGACATCTCAATAATTTTTAGTGACCAAATTCATCCAATAGGGTAAGAATGTCATATGGAGATTTGACGAACACAGTAAGTCAATATCGAGAACTTCCACCAAGCACTTGGATCACAGCTTGAAGTCTTCGTCTCATACTCCTCACCAGACGTTGGAATCGCTCCATGGGCAGCTGCTGCCACTCCTCGTGTAATGCTGCTTCCAATTCACGCAAGTTCTGTGGAGGAGGGTCCCGACGATAAATCAGGCGTCCCAAAATGTCCCATACATGTTCCAGAGGATTCAGATCTGGACTCATTGCTGGCCATGGAATCTGCGTCAGAGCATTGTTGTGGATAACCTGGGTCACAGCTCGTGAACGATGTGGTCTGGCATTGTCATCCATGAATATCGGTCTGGTGGCCAGTGGATGATTGTCAAAATGGGGCACCACAACTGGATTCAGCACCTCTTGGATGTAGCGCTCCCCTGTCAAGTTGCCTCGTATGGTCACTAAATCAAGCTTACAATCAAATGAGAAGCATCCCCAGACCATAACAGATCCACCTCCATATGGTACAGTTGGCATGATGTTTCTTGCAGTATAAGCTGTTCCAGGACGCCTCCATACTCTCACTCTGCCATGCACAACATGCAGAAGGAACCTGCTTTCGTCCGACCAGTGGACTCTTCTCCAGGACCTCAAGTTCCAGTTCTGTCTCAGTCTACACCAGGCTAGACGTAGTCGTTTGTGGTTGTCTGTGAGTTTAGGTCGCTTGATAACCCTTCTTGACTTCAACCCTGCAGCTTTAAGACGATTTCTCACGGTCTGGGTACTGAACTGTTGACGAGGAAGCCAAAGACGTTTCAAGGTTGTGCTTGTAGCAAATGGATGACGCCTTACCACCCTCAACATCGCTCTGTCATCTCTAACTGTGGTCTTACGTGGTCTGCCAGAGGGTCTGCGATTCCTTACATCATTAGTTTGTGCGTGTTTTCTGACCAAACGGCTTATTGTTGAGTAGTTCTTCTGCCAATCTCCTTGAACGAAAGACCTGCTCCATGAAGGCCAATAATCTGCCACTTGACTGCTTCTGACAATCGTCTACCCGGCATTGTGGGTTACAATAAACTGGGCTGTCAGAGAACATCTTTTATAGGCGATGTTGAGCTTAAGAAGATACTGCAATCTGCAAATGTCATGCACCATGCAATTCACGTGCTGATTGCTACGTTTTGGTGATCATCTTCCCTCCGAAAACATTACACATTTAACATCAGATCCCCAAGGAATACCTACCATTAAAACCAGAGTCGGGCGTTTTAAATGTTGTGATGTATCAAACGTATTAATGTGGGGGTGCAACACTTTTTTTTACTGTGTATACTTTCTCCATCTATTGTCTCCACAGTTACTGCCTCCATCTACTGTCTCCATCTACTGTCTCCATCTACTGTCTCCATCTACTGTCTCCATCTACTCTCTCCATCTACTGTCTCCATCTACTGTCTCTATCTACTGTCTCCATCTACTGTCTCCATCTACTGTCTCCATCTACTGTCTCCATCTACTGTCTCATCTACTGTCTCCATCTACTGTGTCCATCTACTGTCTCCATCTACTTTCTCCATCTATTGTCTCCATCTACTGTCTCCATCTATTGTCTCCATCTACTGTCTCCATCTACTGTCTCCATCTACTGTCTCCATCTACTGTCTCATCTACTGTGTCCATCTACTGTCTCCATCTACTTTCTCCATCTATTATCTCCACAGTTACTGTCTCCATCTACTGTCTCCACAGTTACTGTCTCCATCTACTGTCTCCATCTACTCTCTCCATCTACTGTGTCCATCTACTGTCTCCATCTACTGTCTTAATCTACTGTCTCCATCTACTGTCTCCACAGTTACTGTCTCCATCTACTGTCTCCATCTACTGTCTCCATCAACTGCCTCCATCTACTGTATCCATCTACTCTCTCCATCTACTGTGTCCATCTACTGTCTCCATCTACTGTCTCCATCTTCTGTCTCCATCTACTGTCTCCATCTACTCTCTCCATCTACTGTGTCCATCTACTGTCTCCATCTACTGTCTCCAACTACTGTCTCCATCTACTCTCTCCATCTACTGTGTCCATCTACTGTCTCCATCTACTGTCTCCATCTACTGCCTCCATCTACTGTCTCGATCTACTGTCTCCATCTACTGTCTCCATCTATTGTGTTCGAATCTAATAATGGTCTAAAATATTGATCTCTATCTTCAAAGCTATGTGTGAAAGAGTGAAAGTGTATGAAGGTGTATTTGGAAAGGTATACAGTGATGAGCCCCTGCCCTCACCCCTCAAATGATACAATTAATTGAACCTACAGTTTGTATACTGTTGTGTCACAGAGATGCGCCTGTAAAGAATTATGTCAATCCACAGTGCAAGCTGTATGCAAACCGATGCGTGGACATTAAATGGAGACTTTATTCCACATTCTTGTGCCAATTTGTAATCTAGATGTGGAGATGAAATGAGACAATTGTCACCATGTAATCACTGTTAGATGTACGAACATACAATTTTTGTTGGCAGTCAAAGTGGTGTTTGAGCGATTTCAATCAAATGTGCTTGCACTTTGTCCTGGTCTAGATCACCTAAAATATGGACACAAGGGACATTATGAACAGCTTTTACTTTCGTCTGTTCCAATTCCATGTGTTAACTTTTATTTATAATCCCACCCCCAACTTCTTTGAGTACATGTAGAAACTTCTCTGTGACCAAATATGCAGTAAACACACTAGGACTAAAATATGTCCAACAACTCTTTTTGTTCCAGATCGTAATGAAGACATGTCATTATCATCAATCTTGACAAAAAGGATTCTCGAGGATGTTCAGCTGGAAGCAGACTATGACGCTACCAGCAATGTTACGTTTGGCATGGCATCTATCCGCACAAGCTAGAACAAGACGCTGGCGAAATATACAACTATTGTGCAATATTCATCATATCAGTCAGTTCCTCTTCGTGTCGCCTGGGACTAACGTCACTGGTTACCAGATGTGTCTGCTTCGAATCATGGGATCTGTTATCCTTCCTTCAGACATGATTCACCTGAAGTCTTACAATTACTAGTCCACTTGTATAGTGACCTTGACCTTTACACAAGTCATATGTAATTGGTTTAGTTGGTTCAGCAAAACAACACGAATGTTGTTAATTCGGCCATATTGCAAAGTGTTTTAACAGGTGCTGTATGTGAGACAATATATGTACAGCAAGCATTCTCATTATTGCTCTTTGTTTATATGGTTAAATATTGTATATATTGAAGTGAATAAATGTGTGTTTCCAATAATCATGTGCTGTAGATTTTTTGTGAACAACGTTTGTGATAGGTTTATCAGGGAACCCCTTTGGATGCCTATGCTATCTATCTTGACCACTTCAAGGATCTATTCGTATATGTAATCAAATATTTCATCGTGTATGCCGTAATCACACTTTAATTAATTTAAGAGGTAATTGTACATGTGTACAAAAAAGATATAACATTCTATATCAACGTGATTGCAATGTCTTGTTTTGACTTACTTATTCTACCCAAGCTGTATTTAGGAAGTGTATTTAAACTTAACAATGGATGATGACATATTCGTATTAATTGCTGGCAGTTGGTTGTTAATATGTGCCCTAGATTAATTCAGGTGAACTGTCAACGAGGTGAACTAATTCTTACCCAAAGAACACCACAAAATGCAACAATGCAAAGTAAACGCCATTGTTGGGAAGGAATCTATTGACAAAAAAACTGGGTATTCTCTTGTAGCCATGTTTTCTCTCAGAATATGTTGTCTTCAAACTTCAAGTGCTTATTAGAAGGAATCGCATGGTGTATGTTACGACATGTAGACAGGTAGACGAGAGGATGTGGCGTGAGAGTGCTACCTCGAACCATTATGGCTCATACGAGGTTTGATTGTTAGGTTCTGATCCTCACATTGAAGGAATTGCATGACAGTTAAATATAATGGTCCCATAGAGGTATATCGGCACAAAACGTGAGTGATTTGGGCAAATTGGCCTTAACACCATATGCCATTCAAGGAGATATGAGGACATCGCTTGGGGAGGTTGCTCTTTCCCATGTCACCAAAAAGAGGTGGGCAGCAGAGTTTAAACTTTAGAGAGCCTTGAAGACGGCCCCGTCCTGGAAGTACGAAGATTCTGACATCTGATAAAAACGCACCAGGCACTACGTGTCTCGTGAAAACCTAGCTCTGTTTGAAGCTGATTCAGAAAGGTTCTTGCACCGACATGTGACCATGGATAAAACCTGAGTTCACCACATCCAGCCTGAGTTGAACTGCAATCAAAACAGTGGAAGCATTTTCCATGCCTACCACCACAGAAGGCAAAGACTGTCCTAGGATGGAATTAGGACTAAGGGAAGTCGAGAGAACGTGTGCCCTTCCATCGGGACAATGCGTCAGTGTACATCAACCATTGCCATGGCTACAATCCACGAGTGTGGTTTTGGACTCTTTCATCACCTTATTCTCCTGATCTGGCTCCGTCAGACTTCAATCAGTTCCCCAAAGTAAAGAAAGCTCTAACCGTAGCCTATTTCAACTCAAAGGATGACATCTCAGCAGCTGTAGGGAACGTTTTGGATGGCCAAGAGTAGGACTTTCATAAAACTGGAATAATATCCCTCAAACATCGTTGGCAAAAGTGTATCAGTGTTGAAGGGGATTATGCTGAATATAAATCATTTTAATGTCTTTAGGTCATGTTTTCCTACGTTAGGCTCAGAACCTATAATTCACCACGCAGACGTGACTGAGCAGTACATATAAAACACCTTTGTGCTGGGGATTCATTGAGAAGAATCTAGTGTTTAACCAATCGCACACATTTCAGTGGCCCACGTGGACGTCAGCTACTGGGTTATTTTACCACCCTTTCACTGATGGCTCGTACCTCAAATCCATCCCCTGAATTGAGCATTGGGTGACAAATGAGTGATTGAGTAAGTTTCCATTTACGACGCTTGGAATAGTAAATTCATTAATAGAGCTTAGTATTATGCAGGTCTTAGACGTTTATCACTTCGTACCAAGAAACATAATCAGGGGAATTAAAACCCATCAATGCATGTTTCCCTGCGCACGGGAACTTGTAGTGCTCACAGCCACATGAAGCGATTTCGAGATGGCGTGCAAGTCAATTATTGTGATCATCACAGACTGGTGAGGTTGTAGTAGCATAATACATGGAGTCTGTGTGTTATCATTCTGTACAGGCTTAATTATAGCATTCATCTTAATTGGTATTCATAAAGATACACATAATTTGGTATGTTTTCAAATCAAAATGATTTCATCTAAGTGCCCAAATAAATGAAAGGAAGGACAACTGCATTGTATTCAAACAACAGCGCTAAATTTACATCAAGGGTCAGGCTCGGTGACTAGGGTTGATAAAGTGTCATCGAACCCGACGGCGGGGATCGTTGCTCATTATATCAATCACTGAAATATCTGGCCCAAATACGGATTATTTACCGACCCCTGTCATACAGCTTGAATATAGCGAAGAGAGGCGTTAAACAAACAAATACAGGTTTGTCTATAAAACACAGGCAAATTCCGTGCATGTGAACCTGTGCACGCGATTGTCCAAGGACGAGTGTTTTAGTTTCTTCTGTTTAAGGGTGAAACTAGCAAGCAATTTATCTTTGCGTGATTATGGGGATTAACTTCTTTTTTTTCTGTTATCCAAAATCATTCCAATGACAATATTTATTTTATGCATCATTGATATTTATATTGATAAAAATCTGTTTTGCCGTTTGTTCACAAAATGAACACATAGGTATCTGAACCACAACATTATGTTTGGAATTTGACCCGGTAATAACACGTAAGTGTATACCATTACATCGAGGCGTGTTCCATGTAGGTGCGTTGTCTCGTGATGCTCAGTATTGTGAAACAACTAACTATCATGTCTCAATTCGTTTATTTATAGTACAGTCCTTGTTGTTATGTATGAACATTGAGTCCCGCGTGGCCAGCTACGCTATCTAAGTGGGAGGCGTATCTGTTATTTAGAGATAGGCATATGCTGTGTAGTCAGAAGTATAAATGAAGTCTGTGGCACACGTAGGACACACGTATATGTGAGATGCGTTACATGCTGGGATGTTTAAGAAGGAGAGATTCTCGAGGTAATGCTGAAACTATATATTACTAAATAACTGTCCTGAAACTGCCCAATTTGGAAACTCGAAATAATTGCTTTTGGATTTATGATCAATTACATTGTAGATGATTGCATGTTTATCGGCACAGTGACCTGATTATTGCGGTCACATTACATGTATGTATGTCACATGTAAGGTTCATCATCATCATCATCATCATCATCATCGTCGTCGTCGTCGTCGTCGTCATCGTTGTCGTCGTCATCATCGTCGTCATCATCATCATCATCATCATCATTTCATTATCACCTTTCACGAAAATCGTCATGACATCAAACAAAGGCATAAAAACAGGCATTTCAAAGGTTACTGCTTTAAAATGTATTTTATATTTCAGAATGGACACATTCCCACTGTGCTCTCTGTGTCAGGAGCAGTTTACCCTGAAAGGCCCAGCCCCCTACTTACTGCCCTGTCTACACGCTGTGTGTGAGACGTGTGTGACGTCTGCAGCTGGTGGAGTGATATCATGCTCTATATGTCAGAGGCAGGTCAACCTCACAGACACAAGCCTCCAGAAGGATGCAGTCAGAGAGAAGGAAATATTCCACCTGACAGTCAAACATCGCCCGACAGTGCTTCTCTGTACGCATGAAGATGACGGGAACCAGGCTGTGTGTTGGTGTCAGGATTGTGAAGAGTTCCTCTGTGAATACTGCCAGAACACTCACAATAGCTTTAAAGCCACCAAAAAACACGGTGTCCATACCCTGGCTGAGATAGAGCCATCTAAGATGGACGGACACCCCTTCTGTAGTATTCACAAGTATTATCCCCTCGATAGGTTTGACCAAGACTGTAAGATTTTGATCTGTGATAGATGTAGGCGAGAGGATCATGTTTATCACGACGTTGAAGACGTGACTGTCGTTGCTGATGCTTCCAAGCAACAGATAGAACATCACGAACAAGCAATGTCTTTGCTACAGATTAGCCAACAGTCTCAAATTGAAAGAATCGGAAAAGATATTGAAGTCACCGAAGGCACATGTAACACCCTGAAGAAGACAATCAGACAAACATTCCACTCTCTGAGGGCCCAACTTGATGAAAAGGAGAAAGAATGCATTGGCGATGTTGCAGGTCGAACAAAGCAAATAAAGAACAACCTTCAGGATCTGCAATCTAGATTTAATGACAATCAAACGAGAGGAAGTGGGGCCTCAGAGTACATTAAGAAGACTCTAAAATATGCTTCAAAAATAGACATGTTGACCCTAGACAAGGTATTAGGGGAGGAAACTCAAAACTGCATCGACTCAGTTCCTCCTAACTACGAAACGCCTATCCTTGCTCTCAACATGGAGAAACTCGATGATTTAAAGGCAAAAATATCCAGTATTGACTCCATCAGCAAATTGGGATCTGCAAGTGAGGATGGAGAGGTTAGAGGTATGTGGCTATAGCTTACTATTCAATACACTACATTTATTGTTGAATATGCTTTACCTAAAGTTAATTCATTGTATATGTGAACGAATGGCTAGATTGGTTCCATGCTGAAATGAAAGTATTGTAATTGTTTTACGATTTCAGGTCAGGCTATACCCTATGATGCAAAGAGAAACAAAGACAAACGAGTAAGAGAGATTTGAATTCTCCAATTTCTTTGAAATCTTAACAAAAATCACTTTACCTGCTTAGTGCGAATAGGGCTAACCTGGAACATATTCACATATTCTTTCAAATCCCCATTTATATATTTTACTTCACTAGTTGAACCTGTTTTCAAACTCATAGCTGGCTGAAATAAAGAAAAGGCCTATATTATTGGTTTGGCTGACCTCAGATTATGTCATATCCTTCATAAAACTTTAACTCATTGCTTCTCTTTATCTCAACTGATTCGAAAGATTTGTTGAAATAATTACACCATGAATCAATTGCCAGCAACTGTGCCCCTCATATGGGTTCTACAACCCATACTTGACATAAGAGGCGACTATATATGCTTGTCGTAAGAGGCACTAACGGTGATCAGGCTCCGTGACTTGGTTGATGCACGTCATCATATCCCAATTGCGTAGATCGATGCTCATGAAATGAATCATAGGATTTTCTGGTCCAGACTCGATTATTCACAGACCGCCGTGGAATAAAGCTGAAATATCGCTGAGTGCGGCGTTAAAAAATAACAAAAAAACAAACATTGAAATGCTATGGTGTCCATAGTGGATAGTCAAAATAAAATGCTGAGCTGGCTTGAATGTTGCATGGGCAAAACATAAATTCAGGTATTTGGGTCTTCTTTAGGAGCATTTCAGAAACTCCAGATAGGAATAGTCTTAAAGGTTCACAGAATCCAATTTTGGCACGTCTCAGGTTTACTCACGGGTGATTTGTCATTTGTTAACAATAAAAATTGTGGAGAAACATATTTCATTGTAGTACATGCATTATTTAATTCCATAATTGAATTGGATAATATGTTGCAAATATAATTAAATTGATATTAACTTTTGAGCATTCTGGTTGTATTCACATCTGACTTGATATACCGGGTTACATGCAGTCACTCGTTTCAGGAAATTGCTTGTCTGCAGAGTGATGTTCAGCAGGCTCCAAAATGTACCGGCATTATGGAGACCGCCGTCTCAGGTAGGAACCCTAGGAGGTGAGGTGAGGTTAAATGGGGTTTAACGTCGCGTCCAAGATTATTGCACTTATATAGCGACGTGTGTGGCTGCTTGTACTTGTCCGGACTGATGCCGATTTATAGTGCTAGCACACTAAGATACCATGCCGCAGTTTAACATGAATACCCTACTCAGACACAGTATACTGACTCCGAGCCGACCAGTCCTTGTTTTAGCCCCTTAATGCCGAGCGCCAGACAGGATAACAACAAGATCCATCTTTTAACGTCTTTTGGTATGACGCGGCCGGGGATCGAACCCCGGACATTCCGCTCTCCGGGCGGACGCTCTACCACTAGACCACGGAGGCGGTCAGGAACCCTAGGAACGTTGAATCAAAAGTGTGTTAAATGAGACAGCGTTCTGTCAATAGTGCATCAGCTCTTTCGCATCACAGCTAATGCATTCAGAATCTCAGAAACATTTTGCGATCACAGTTTATTTTCACTCTGCCCAGATACTGCCCCAGTCACCTACCACCTGTTGGAGACGACCGCCCTGGACAAGGCTCCTATAATCCTACAGTGTAAGTATTTGGTGCCATGTGTTGACGTTCATAGATCAATATCAAATGATTGATACATTAAGTTGATAGCACGAATAAGTTTGAATTTCAAAGTGTTAATTTTTTTCAAAGCTGTATGTAATATATGTGCCCTCATCATTGATTTGTAATAATGATGAAGAAATTCATTTTTGTATTGTCTCCACATCACTATCGCGATCTAACAATTACAATTTATGGCACAATACAAAACACATAGTTTTTTGTCACATTGAACTATGTCTTTTATTGTGATTAGTTTTTTTTCCTGGTAACAACCCAGGGTCACGGATTCCCGGATTTGTCCATTCCCAGAAACCAATGATGTTGGGTTCGAATCCCAGCTTGTTCCGATTATGTTTCTAGGTTTGTCAGCACTGTATCCGTGCTCGTAGGTTTCACCGAAGTGGTAAACGTCCGAGACCTGCATCACTTCGGGCTTTCCTCCCACATTAAGCTGACACGCCGCGATATAACTGGATTACTGTTAATAGTGGCGTCCAACCACTCGCTCACAAAATGAACTCCAATTACCTTGCAGGTATCCATCTGAAGTACGACTCTGGAGCATTCAATCTCGACTACGTCAACGTCAACACGGAAGGGGAGCTGGTCAACAGAAGACCAGACACCAGGCTTTCCCGGCAGGGGAGATTGAAGACATACTGTGGCACCTGCAGCACTGCCCCCCTCCCCCGGACTGGCTACCCGCAATACTGGGAGATGATAGCGCGGCTCAGACTGAACAGCACACTTCGAGGCACTCGGTCTGTCTTGGAAACAGGCCTATGTAGGAGGGATGTGTTAGATAGAATAGAATTAGTAGGTGGTCAGAATCACTCCTACAGTCTGACCGTCTCCCAGTGTCCTACACATGGAGGGATATGCAGGAACTTATGGAAGAAGCGGAAGCATGTGCTGCATCTTCCTGTCACTCTGGCCAACATGGAGCAATTCAACACACTACATTACGGTGTGGTCTATGATGATGCCAGGAAGAAGATTGCCTTCGTTGATGTGAAGGAGAACAAACTAATGGTGGCCTTAGACAATGTAGACTCTAGTCAGCCCCTTTGGCCGATGTTCGGGGTGTACAACAAAGATGATGTCATCGTCAGCATGTCACTTGTCGTTGGCCACGATATCAACATGACACAGGAGAAGAAGCTAATGATCACCCAGGCACTGCAGGCACAGCAGCCACACACACCCTAGTAAACACAGCCACACACACCCTAGTCAACACAGCCTCATATACCCCAGTCAACACATACACCCAAGTAAAAACAGCCACACACACCCTAGTCAACACAGCCACACACACCCTGGTCAGCACATACACCCAAGTAAAAACAGCCACACACACCCTAGTCAACACAGCCACACACACCCTAGTCAACATGACACATATGCCCCAGTCAGCACATACACCCAAGTAAAAACTATCACACACACCCTAGTCAACACAGCCACATATACCCTAGTCAACACAGCCACATATACCCCAGTCAGCACATACACCCAAGTAAAAACAGCCACACACACCCTAGTCAACACAGCCACACACACCCTAGTCAACATGACACATATGCCCCAGTCAGCACATACACCCAAGTAAAAACTATCACACACACCCTAGTCAACACAGCCACATATACCCTAGTCAACACAGCCACATATACCCCAGTCAGCACATACACCCAAGTAAAAACAGCCACACACACCCTAGTCAACACAGCCACACACACCCTAGTCAACACAGCCTCATATACCCCAGTCAGCACATACACCCAAGTAAAAACAGCCACACACACCCTAGTCAACACAGCCACACACACCCTAGTCAACACAGCCTCATATACCCCAGTCAGCACATACACCCAAGTAAAAACAGCCACACACACCCTAGTCAACACAGCCTCATATACCCCAGTCAGCACATACACCCAAGTAAAAACAGCCACACACACCCTAGTCAACACAGCCACACACACCCTAGTCAACACAGCCTCATATACCCCAGTCAGCACATACACCCAAGTAAAAACAGCCACACACACCCTAGTCAACACAGCCACACACACCCTTGTCAACACAGCCACACACACCCTAGTCAACACAGCCACACACACCCTAGTCAACACAGCCACACACCCTAGCCTAGTCAACACAGCCACACACACCCTAGTCAACACAGCCACACACACCCCAGTCAACACAGCCACACACACCCTAGTCAACACAGCCACACACACCCTGGTCAACACAGCCACACACACCCTAGTCAACACAGCCACACACACCCAAGTCAAAACAGCCACACACACCCTAGTCAACACAGCCTCATATACCCCAGTCAGCACATGCACCCAAGTAAAAACAGCCACACACACCCTAGTCAACACAGCCTCATATATCCCAGTCAGCACATGCACCCAAGTAAAAACAGCCACACACACCCTAGTCAACACAGCCACACACACCCTGGTCCAAACAGCCACACACACGAGCCATACACACCCTAGTCAAAACAGCCACACACACCCTAGTCAACACAGCCACACACACCCTAGTCAACACAGCGACACACACCCCAGTCAACACAGCCACACACACCCTAGTCATTACATCAACACACATCCTAGTCAACACAGCCACACACACCCTAGTCAACACAGCCACACACACCCTAGTCAACACAGCCACACACACCCTAGTTAAAACAGCCACACACACCCCAGTCAACACAGCCACACACACCCTAGTCAACACAGCCACACACACCCAAGTCAAAACAACCACACACACCCTAGTCAAAACAGTCACACACAGCCTCGTCAAAACAGCCACACACACCCTAGTTAAAATTATCAAAATGTCCTCAAAATCTATTCAAAACGGACACATGAAACAGATATATATATTGTAAGTTATTCAGTTTTGTTGTATGTAAACTCTGAAATGCATGACTTTTGTGGAAAGTGTACCACAATAATGAGGGCGAGACAGTGTCCACGTGACTTTGGATCACAAGCTGAATGGAAGTCATCCCTAACACAAGAGGAGGTGTGTTGATAAAGATAACTTGTCCCTGACCTGTTCATTAAAATGTCGTCGAGCTAATCAGTGACAGTATGTTATCTCACATTATATTTAGATTACAGTACACACTGTATCGACTCTGTAGCCGAACTGTCAATCAATGACACAATGTCATCACTTAACAGCTGTCACACCAGTTGCCAAAATCGTCTTACAACTGGTCTTTAATGATTACTTTTCAAACAACCATTTTCTATCCACCACCAGTAGTCATTATTATCACCCGAATCCGCATAAAGAGAAAATTCGATTAAAAAATAAATATATCCTACCAAAGTGGCACCATTAGGCCTTCGTAGATTTCAGGTAAAAGAAGAGAAGTTTAAGACTCTCAAATTTGCCTAATACACTTAAAAAAGTTAAAAACAGTATAGTCAATAGTTCACAAAGAATTTCACAGATAAATTACTTTTCGCAATCAAGGCCGTCCAATACTTTCGATGTTAGTATAAAAGATTAATATAACGTGACTTCTTACTGTGCTGCGCCTGTTTTGGGTCGATGAAAACCTCAGGCAGCAATGATTTATGATCGTAATTGATTCATGACCTGTTAAAAAGTACCTGTCAAATTTGAAAGGTGCAAACTTTTATTAACACCATGGTTAGGTTTAGACATGGTTTAACAAACAATAATTTAACATTGTACGAACACAGTAGCTGCGATCACATTTTTGACTATGTGCTTTCTGGACATAATATATAGTCGACGAACTCTTAATCTCCTTATGTGTGAACATTATATTCACCGTCAAAAGAAACGCGAACTATAGAAACATGTGGTGAAGTATGTACGTTAAGAAGATATGTTTCCAATGTGCACCACTTAATGACAAAACAAGATCCGTGAAGATCCGGGGTAGAATAGGTCTTCAGCAACCCATGCTTGACCTAAAAGGTGACTATGCTTGTCGTAAGAGGCGACTAACAATCAGTCAGGTGTTACCACAGAGTGACGTTATTCTTATCACGATATGCTGCACGTGATTTCCAAACGTTACACGCTATTCCCTCACAAGACAAATGGTGCATCTCGAGTCATGGATCTATGATGTCACATGTGATGGATTTTTGAGCGTCGGTTCACACAATATTCCAGTATGTTCGTATGTGCATCGAACCAATCAAATATCACTTGAATATGAATAATTCTTCATATAATAACCAACATGTATGGTAATCGCGTTTCTTTTGTTGGTGAGTACCTGCTAATTACTTGCACACTTACGATAACAATTGTTTTGTGAGATTGATAATGTCTGATAAATCACTTATTCAGTTCAAACATTCCATGTACATTGTCCATTGTTATATGTTGAGAGTAAAACTGTTGGCCTCAATTGACACATGCTTGTCTAAAATTGTACATATGTTTCCTTTTTAGCCACTATAAAACATGGGTGAATACTTTCGTTTTCCCAGCGGATCTTGAATAAATAGATCAGTTTCATCTTGATCTTGACTTAAGCTTGATAATTAGGGCGTCAGACTTCCACAGTATGAATGTGATATTAACGAAAATCGTTATCTTAATTTGAAAAGATATCATGATTTACGAAACAGCGATAAGTATGATCATGACCAACAGCTTGATTTCAAAATAATTCTTTTTCAAGTTGAATGTAATTTCTTTACGTGAATCGTTTTCGAACGCAAAAATGAAAACTAAAATTTTGGAACGAAAATGGATATTTTACTTTGAAAAGATAAAATATTTTACGAAATAGCAATACGTATACCACAATTTTTACTTCAAGTCAAACATATTTCTAAATGTTAAAACCTTGTACGTAATTTCAAACCAAAACTATAAGTAAATACATTTTTGGATCGCAAATAGATACAACAGTTTGAAAAGAAAAATAACAGGTTATCAATTGTTGAAAATACGAGTATCGCTTATGGGAATCCTTTTTACTCGGGGTCTTTCACTATTTTCAAAACACTCGATGACTGCATGGGGTAAACCAGATTGACACTTGGATGCCCTCTTTTTCAAACACAGAATTTGATATTCACACATAACCTCGACTCTACTACCCTACCTGCCCACTAAGACCCCCCCCCCCCCCCCCCCCCCTGGCACTGCCGCCCCCCCTATCACTCGAAATACACTCCTCACCCTGGCACTGTGACCACACAACCTCCCCCTGCCACTGTGATCACAAGCCCCCCTCCCCCCCCACACACCTTACCACTGTTACCACACACACACCCCTGGCACTGTGACCCCCCCCCCCCCCCCCCCCTCCTAACACTCCTCACCCTTGCACTGTCACCCCAACCCCCCACCCCCCACCCCATCACTCAGACCACACTCCACACTCCTCACCCTGGTAGTGAGACCACACATCCTCAACCTGCCACTGTGATCACAAGCCTCCTCCCCCCCCCCCCCCCCCCCCACACACACACATACCTTGCCACTGTTACCACATATCCCCATCCTGCCATTAATACCACACAAACGCACCCAGCCACTTTAACCACACACCGGGACCCCATCAGTGTGACCACACACCCTGCCACTGCCACTGTGACCCCCCCCCCACACACACACACACTCACACACACACACACACACATTCACACAAACACACCTTGCCACTGTGACCACACATCCCCACACTGCCACTGTGCACATCGAAACATGATTATTGCAACCCAAAGCGAGTGAGCGTCCGTGAACGGTTACAGCTATCAGAACACCGCTACGATAACATCTGCTGGCATGGAAGTTATCACGTACTAAACCTCATATCCGACCGCCTGCAATGTACATTCATTACCACATTTTACCAAACTCAACGATGACTTCTAATTTTACAATTTCCCCCTGAGTACTGTTTCCTATTGCAAAGCATGATATAATACACTTTATAAAAATAAATAATAATAAAAATATCGTAAGCAGCCTAAGGGTTAGTTACCCAATAAACAGTATGTAACTTAATAATCATACCAAAATGATTTCGCGTTACGGTATTAAAAGTTCCAAGAGAGTATTTTCATTTGAATACCGAATACCGAATCAGTCAGTACCGAATACCGAATCAGTCAGTACCGAATACCGAATCAGTCAGTACCGAATGCAGAATCAGTCAGTACCGAATGCCGAATCAGTCAGTACCGAATACCGAATCAGTCAGTACCAAATCGTCAGTACCGAATACCGAATCAGTCAGTACCGAATACCGAATCAGACAGTACCGAATACCGAATCAGTCAGTACCGAATACCGAATCAGTCAGTACCGAATACCGAATCTGTCAGTACCGAATACCGAATCAGTTAGTACCGAATACCGAATCAGTCAAAACCGAATACCGAATCAGTCAGTACCGAATACCGAATCAGTCAGTACCGAATACCGAATCAGTCAGTACCGAATACCCAGTCAGTACCGAATACCGAATCAGTCAGTACCGAATACCGAATCAGTCAGTACCGAATACCGAATCAGTCAGTACCGAATACCCAGTCAGTACCGAATACCGAATCAGTCAGTACCGAATACCGAATCAGTCAGTACCGGATAACGAATCAGTTAATACCGTATGCTCCATGCAGCTGTAATGTGATGGGTCGTTACTTAGCCACCTTTTTTGCGGCCCTGTCCAGACCCCGGGTTATAATTTGCAACCTCCGCTTGTCGTACGAGGATCAGGTGGTCAGGAATGGTGACTTGTTTGATTGCTTGTCAACTTTCTATGATGGCAACAATACAATATTCGCCCACTGTCCTGTGCAGGCATTCGTTTGAGTGCGTGAGTCAGTGACTTTGGCTTAACGGCGCTTCTAACAGTATTCCAGTTCTATCACAGCGTGTCAGCTTAATGTGGGAGAAAAGACGAAGTGATGCAGGTCTCAGACGTTTACCATTTCGATGAAATTCATGAGCACAGGTATGGTGCTGACAAACCTGGAAACATAATCGGTGCGAACCGGGATTCGAACCCACGATCATAGGTGTCTGGCATGCCCGTCATGGGCCCCGAAAGTACCTGAGTACATGGGATTTATAATTGAAAATATTAGTAATATTACATACACATCTCGGGTAAATGTTGTGTCAGCTGTAACTTGACTTTTGTCATCTATACATGAAGCACTTATCATGCGGCCAGGGTATTATAGATCTGCATAGTGTGTACGGGTGACAGAAGGTTTTGTGAATGACCTGAGCGTCTCCTGCAGGAACTTCTATTATGGTAACCTGTCCATTGTTTTGCCAGAAGTAATAAGATATTTTCGCGAGACAGGCGGTGAGTTGGAGGGAATGTGACTCCCATAATCATTATTATATTGAGAATGCTAAACGAGTGTGTCTGCAACGTTACAATCAGGTGACAGTCGTGTATAGTTAGGGTAGCATAAACAGACATATGCGAGTATGTCTGAATTTAAAGTATTAAAACTAGCTTGGATGATTGGATCGTGAAGGTCGAATTTGAGAAGATCTTTGTACTTTCAGCTTAAAGCTCACAGTATTACTCTTTGTTTAGAATAATACATTGTATAGCAATAGGATAACGTCGCATCGGATTTACGCAAAGTGTACATAATTGTCAATTCTTGTAACTATAGTCAAACACCATTGTGTCGAAGTTCAAGGCACTACATAAATTCTTCGAGTTATCCGAGGTTCGACACAACTGTTACTTCGAGACAACAGTAAGTTCGACATATCAAAGTTCGACACAACTGATACTTCGAGACAACAGTAAGTTCGACACAACTGTTACTTCGAGACAACAGTAAGTTCGACAGATCAAAGTTCGACACAACTATTTTTTACTGTATAAACATCAGCAATAATAACTTCAAATACTGCTTATTTAATCATTTACATATATATAAGAAACTGTACAACACCAGTGACGTACAACGCAAGAATGATGCGACCCAAACTAACTAACATATTATCAACCAGTCGGGTATTAAAACGTGTCAAACTTTATGGATACCAAGTTCTGTTTTTTGCATAAAGCGACGTTTCGATGTGGATTCCTGCACCGCTATCAAGCTGGAGTAGAAACGAACCAAGTGATGAGAGGTGTACGACGCTGTTGTTGTCAATGTTCATCTGTTGTATCATAACATGCTATAACTAGTGAATCCGGTCTTATAACATTCTTCACTCACTCACCCACTCACTCACTCACTCACTCACTCACTCACTCATTCACTCACTCACTCACTTGGACCATTCACTCACTCACATACTCACACACTCACTCACTCACTTGGACCATTAACTCACATACTCACACACTCACTCACTCACTCACTCACTCACTCACACACTCACTCACTCACTCGACCTGCCGTTTTCTGGAAGTAACAACAAGGCAGGATTGCTTTCAACTCGTATATTACGCATTCTGTTTACACGCCATGTGATGTGAAAGCCAGTCGCGTGAAAGTTAACCACTGCAGTTGCAGTTGCCAACACAGCTCGCGACGCCAGAGTCGCCTGCACATGTCTCTCGGCAGCCGGACGACAGAGGGCCCCCAGGACAGCTGAATCTGCAGGCCATCTCGAGTTCTGAGCAAGACTTAAGACACACCTGACATCTGTCTCTCCTTGCTGTCACAGCGACTACCAGGATGACAAGGATTGCCAGTCTCTACAATAACAATGACATTTTGAATATAATATACAACGTCAATGCATGAGCAAACAAGTCTTCCATATCCGCCAAAATGATTCATTTAAGATTTAAAGGGCCTAAATAGCCGAATCGACTACTGAAAATCAATGATGAGACCAGTTGAGGGGGCACGGGTGGCCCAGTCGTCTAAGGCGCCGCGACAGCGAGTGCAGAGCTGCGTCCATTGGGCATGCCAGAAACCTATGATTGTGGTATCGAATCCCTATTCGCCCCGATTATGTTTCCAGGTTTGTCAGCACCATACCCGTGCTCGTGGGTTTCACCGAAGTGGTAAACGACTGAGACTTGAATCACTTCGGGCTTTCCTCTCACATTAAGCTGACACGCCGCGATATAACTGGAATACTGTTAAAGCGACGTTAAATTCAACTCACTCACACAGTAGAGCGTCCGCCCGGAGAGCGGAAGGTCCGGGGTTCGATCCCCGACCGCGTCATACAAAAAGACGTTAAAAGATTGTACTTGTTGTTACCCTGTCTGGCGCTCGGCATTAAGGGGCTAAAGCAAGGACTGGTCGGCTCGGAGTCAGTATAATGTGTCTGAGTGGCGTATTCATGTTATACTGCGGCATGGTATCTCAGTGGGCTTGCACTATAAATCGGCATCAGTCCGGACTAGTACAAGCAGCCACACACACACATACACATGCAAGTCGCTATATAAGTGCAATAATCTTGGAAGCGACGTTAAACCCCATTTCATCTTCATCTTCACCTTTCTCGGAAACAAACTGTATCTTTGAAGCGCAGATTAGAAATTTATTCACTCTCGAACAAAACCAAGAATACTGAATGGTAGGCCCCTTTTCTTTATGACATACGGTTTCAGCAACTTTTGCTGATGGAGTGGTCTAGAAACCGTAAAAGCCCGCAGTATTGACTGGAGAGTATATTCTTTGATACTGCTTCATATTACTTTGAAGTGTTTGGCCAAGCGAGAAAGGGAATCAACTAAATCAGAAAAAGAGCGCATGTTCTTTTTGAACTTTGCAAACAAGGGAATTGATGCTTTAAGTTCAGGTAACATTATCAGACAAAAATCAGTTTCCCTAAATATTGCTACAGGAGTTAGTTCTTCAACACGTTCACGAACACAATTTCGTCCGAATTGTTCATTTTTAGAGACGTGTTTCAGGTGAGGTGAGGTGAGGTGAGGTGAGGTGAGGTGAGGTGAGGTGAGGTGAGGTGAGGTGAGGTGAGGTGAGATGGGCTTTAACATTTCGTTCAAGATTATTGCACTTATATAGCGACGTTTGTTTTTCTGGCTGCTTCTAATCGTCCGGACTTATGCCGATTTTATAGTGCTAGCCCACTGTAATACCATTACACAGTTAAACATGAATACCCTGCTCAGACACAGTATACTGAGTCCGAGCCGACCAGTCCTTGTTTTGACCGCTTTATCCCGAGCGACAGGCAGAGTAACAACAAGTACCATTTTTAAAAGTCTTTTGGTATGACGCGGCCGTGGGAACGTGTTTCAGAACGTGGACATGCAACCTCGTGATGTAAACTCCACTACTTGAAGCTGACAAGACTCCTCATATTTCTACCAACCTGTTGGTGATTTGTTCGCAAATCACTTCTCTATTGTTGCCATAACAACCTTCGTCAGTTATCCAATTATGGCCTAAAGTATCACAAACAGTATGCTTTTTATCGGGACAACAACTCTATTATTATGGATGCTGTCGAACAGATCTAGAGAACATGGCCCAACAGAGAAGACGAATCTGTTGAATGTCTATCGGAGTTGGTAAAGTCATTGCTGAAAACTGAAAAAGCCAATCTGTACCAGTCAACTGTCATCCAACGTCTGGCTGCCCTACATGAACGGGGAGTTAATGGGGATGATA